GCTGTGCGCCTGACTGGGTACCTTCTTCCCAGTTTAACCTGCTCGGGCCTGCTGGTCATCCCCTGCCTCGTCATTGGTTCAGCTCGGTGTGAGCAATCAGAGGACACGGCCGGCTTGGCAGCTGGGATTTCCAGGCACAGGGCGCAGGAACCGCAGGGGAAACAGCAGTGTGAAGCAGTGCTGGGGACTCCCATCACTGCCCTCGGGGAGACAGCGGGCAGATCGTGACTCGGGCGGGTGGGGGTGTCCGGTTCAGGCCCACGCCCCGCTGCTGTGAGCAGGGACTGTCCGTTGTTTTCCCCATCACATGCTCTTGTCTCTTCGACGTGAAGACAAATGCTGCCCTGGACGGGGGTTGGCACGTGGCGTTTTCTGTGGGAAAGAAACGAGAGTGTAGTTCTTTGCTTGCCCAGTGCCCGTCTCTGGTCTTGGGCCTGCAGCCTGGAAACCTGACTGACGCTGTTATCCGTGTCTGTCTGTCCAGACAACGTGTGCAGTGGGGCCCCGGAGTTCCTGTCTCCCCTGGGGACCCCGGTGCTGACGTCGACTTTGGGGGCTCAGCTGTCCCTCAACTGCACCGCCAGGCTGTCCTCCGACCCGCAGGACCCACACTGCGACTCTGCTCTGCACTGGCTGAAGGATGACCAGCTCCTGACCAACACCAGCCTCTACCCCAGGAACGACTCCGAGTGGTGAGTGAGCTCTCTGGAGCTAACTTCCTTCACAGCTCTAGATGCTGGGATTCACGGCTGGGATTTACTTGGGATTTTGGTTATTTGCTAAGATTAGCTACTGCTGAATCATAGTAATATATATGTACATAGTATGCCAGATCCATATCGCAAGTAATCAGGGGGAAAGTGACAGGGCCAGGCTGCCTCTCTGGGAAAAAAACATTGCAGCAAGCAAAGATCAGTCTGGATTTTCGGCTGTGGGGTTCGGGCGCCCTCTGCTGGAGAGAAACTGAGATGCACACAAGAAATGCACTTAAATGCTGGCCTGGTCACACACTTGTTGGGAATGTTACCTTGTAGTACTGGGGATCGGAGTTTGAAACCCAGTTGGCTTGCAGAGATCCTGCCGAGAACTCTGCCTGCTCCGAAACCCGACTTTTAGAGCACGGCGGGGCAGTGGCTCTGTGGCTCAGGATCTGCGCCTGTGGCTGGAAGGTTGCCGGTTCAAATCCCGCGGCCCAGCAGAGGAATCCTACTCCATTGGGCCCCTGAGCAAGGCCCTTCACCCCAACTGCTCCAGGGGCGCTGTACAATGGCTGACCCTGCGCTCTGACCCCCAGCTTCTCTCCCTGTCTGTGTGTCTCATGAAGAGCAAGCTGGGGTCTGTGAAAAGACAAATTATGACCTAATGCAAGAAATTGTATAGGGCCAATAAAGTTATGTGATGTTATGTTATTATCCGGTTTTTCTGAGGACAGCTGTCCGGCGGGAATCTGTGGGTTCGGCACAGTGATGTCGGGATTCACATGGGCCCGTGTCACCCCACAGGTCTGCCAACAACGGCTCACAGAGGTTTGTGAGAAGTCTGCTGCAAGTTACTGTGAGGGATCAGGGGAGCTACGGAGTCTTCTCCTGCAGGCTGAGCAACGCCACAGCCACTTTTAAGCTGCAGAGAACGGGTAAGGAGCTGGAGCACACAAGTGGTAAACCCTTCATTTTCTCTGGCTTTGGCATCACTCAGGCCTCACGCTGAGTCCCTGAGTCAGTACTGACAGGCACATGAGAACTATAGTTACAGAATAAATGCACTGTTCACCCTGACTGGGCCATGGAGTTACTGCTGTTCTTGAGTTGCAGCACTGGGGCAGTGCGGTGTGGTAGTGCAAGTGTACTGTACATTATATCTATAACCTCTTGATCTATATATCACCCTGCA